TGGTACTTAAAGATCTCTATGCCAAACTTGCTACAAAAGTAGGACCTCACTGGGGCCTGCTAGTCGTACCTGAGGACAGGCATTGGTGCTGGAGAAAGACAAACGTCAAACACCTTGAAGCCCTTTCTGTTTGAGAGTTTCAACCCGAAATGGTTGCGTTTTCTGAAACTCTGCAGAACTCCAAAAGCAGAGTACGGAAGTCTTCAGTGAACTGCTAGGGTATGGCTTCAATCTGGGCCCTGAAACAAACCATCCGGATCTTTGGCGAGATGTTTGGTGCTGCTGAAATTGAGAGCCAGAGGCCCGAGAGCTTTGCAACAAGCAGCTGTGTCCTTGTAAATGCAAGGAACCTGCTGCTTCGGCTTAGCCAGCTTCAAGCTCCTTTTGGGTGTGTATTTGTAGAACCAGGTTTAAAATCAGACAGATATACTTTACCAAAACTGGAGGATAGATGAGGGAAAACATGACATTCTAAGACTAACTGGTTCTAAAAGGCCTTTTAAAAAGATGGACGAGTGAATGGCAGGCATTCATATTAAATCACCTTATAAAAAGTTTAACAACAAAAGTTACAGTTTTTGCCATATATCCTGTGTGAAAGTTAAGTTACCTTCCTTACTAATTCTTCTGTTCATTTGATTGCGACTGAGAAATGAAATGTCACAGGAAATGACTGTCTGCTTTCCCTATTAGATGTGTAAGTTTTGGACCATTGAGAATATTAACCAAGCCATTGGTGAGCTGCCCACTGTAGGGGGGAAGCCATGCTGAACTCCAGACAGCTGTTCCTTCAGCAGCTGGATGGACTAGAAGAATTAGGCAAAACAATTCAGACGAGAATGGATTGGCACTTGGTTTTGTCAGGGCACACAGGGAACTGGCTCCCTAGTCAGTGGGTGATAAAATAATTGCAAGGGCTTGGATTGCATGTGTGAGTTTGCATGCTAGACTCTTCTAGCCAAGAAATGGTGCTTGCCAATTATGCTCCACACCTGTGAAATGGATGGCAAGCTCCAAGTTTCAAAGAGGAAATGAGTTACAGGCGAAACTTGCAGACCAGGCAGGTGTTGCTTTTCTTGATTTCCAATGCTGGCGGCCGTCCTGTCGTCTTACTGTACGGCACTAGCCGCAGTGAGGTGCAGGGTGGGGTGGGGTGGGGGGTGTGGTCTGTTTACTGTGTACAACGTCTGCAAACAAAGTTCTGCGTTATCATCTTAAGGCTCTGTATGTGTTTTTCCAAGTTGTGTATCAAATACAAGGAAAAAGATTTCTTCACTAGCAGTTTTACAAAGTCCTCCGAGGTTCTGAGTTTAAAGTACATTCTGTTGCTGATGAGGTTTGTTTGAAAGTACCCCGTGCAGCTTATTAATGTAACGTTGCATTGCAGAATCCGGAAAAGCCTGTTACAGTAGTGCTACCAAACATGAACTGACTTGCAGTGTGACAGCTGCTCAAGATTCCTCTTTACAGTTTATTGTTTCTGTAGCCCCTTTTGTTATGTTTACCTTTACTCTTTTACACCACTGTTGGTGTGGAGTGTAAAATAACCCCATTCTTTCAACTTGGCCAGCGGGGAGAAAAAAAAAGGACTTTCCTGTTCTATTGCATTCTTGCAGCAAAAAACTCCTGGCACAAATGAGGAGTAAGAGATTAGTAGGGTTTTCTGAATAAGAATTTAAACCAGCCTCCATAAATATCAATAGACAAGCATATGGAACTTGTGCAGCTGATGCCTGCAAATATCTGCTGAATAGGCATTTTGGCTTTTCCTCACTCCTGCTGTAAAGGAATGATAAGTCACTTATCCTTTATCCAGAACCAGTAGACATACTGACTGTCACTGTTGAAGGTTATTACACTTTACTAATTTAGGCAGTGTTGATGACAGTTACTAAACATGCAATATATGAACGTGAATAGAAGTGCCAAGGATCATGCTGAGTAACAGACTTTGTGGTTCTATTTAAACAAAAATGACACCTTAATTTTAAGTACTGTATAATTACACCTTGTAAGTACTGTGGTTTTGAATTGAGGCACAGCATTTGCAGTGGTCAGAAAGTTTGATGTTTTGTATTTTTAAGACTACCAAATTGAATTAACTATTTAACTGTTGATTTAACTGCTGATATTTCGGTGGCTGTTTCTCAGTGCTGTCAAGGTTAATAAGTGAGTAACCTGCTGTGACAACTTTAATTCTCCAGTTTTGACCAAGTATAAAATGTTCAGTGGCTTCTAAAAAGTTCTGCATAGTTGCTTATTTTAGCTTGTAATAATGATATGATAGTCTGACATGATATAGAAACTTCTGTATCATTTATATGAAAGTAGGGCATCCTGCCTAAAATATGAGACTGCTATAACAGAAACTGGGCTAGTATGAAACAAACAAATAAAAAATCCCCCCAGACTGTTTTTCACAATATGGACCTTCCCATCCAATTTTTTTTTTTTAATTTTCTTAATTAGGTGAGCTCCTACATTCTACTATGATATTCATTGTAACAAAAATATTTGTTGACTTTCTGTTGTCTGCTGAAGAGGTCCTTCAGGGATAAAGAACTGCTCTTGCCAAAGAGTTGTTGATTCTTCCTTATTATGTAGCTTCAGGATCCTTTCATACTTTGGTATCCTCTTTGATCTTAAGCTTAAGACTATGAAGAGAAAATGTTTCCAGTTAGTTGGCAAAGGGATTCCTCTACAGCTCCACAGGTTGCTTCCTTTAAAAATCTTGGCTCTGTGATTCTCTCATTTGCTTTACATTTGCATAACTGTCTAGAAGATATCGTTCTGTTTTTTTGTTTGCTTGTTTTCCAATTTAATTTTGCCTTTGGTATTTATGTTTAATTATATGTGAACTTTCATTTGCCAAATCCCTGCTGATTTTTAACGTGTAGTTTTCACTAGACCTGTAAATGCCCATTTTTCTTTGTAATGACCTTCCTTTCACCTGAACCTTGTTAATGAGTTGAATATTTAAGTTCACATGGCTTACTAGTGTAATCATTGGTGATGCAGGTGTCAGCCCGCTTGTCTTCCCCTAGTTAAATGTATTTCCTGTAAACAGTATGAGTTGATCTTAAAATTGTTGAATGTATTGCACAGGAGCTTGTAATTATTTTTATATTCTCAGCTGGAATATATTTATAATTACCTAATGCCTTTAGGTCTGTATCGTAAGTTTTATATCCTTCCTTTATTTGTTTTCCCCGTAGTACTGCATTCTTGCAGGAAGACGTAGATGCTATGAAATAATCTTTCAATTTTCTTTGACTTTCCATCTCTTATCAAGGGAATCAGGTTCATTCCACTTTATCCAAAGATGAGTTTTAAGTGCTTTTAAATGTCTAATATAAAAAATACTTTAGTATTTTGAGTAATACTCAAAAGTACTTAAACACCAACCTCTTGTTTCAGAACTGGGACCTATTAACGTGTTGGAAGTAAGTTTAGCTGTTCTCTGTGTGTTCCAGTTGCTGCATAGTTTAGTGAACTTTCCCTTCTGTGGGGCTCCATATGTGATTTTCGTGCCTCAATAAGTGAATTTTTGTGCCACATTCCAATGGATCTGAAAGAAAGGTAAACTGCTAAATTTTAGTTAGCTAAAATCTGGGTGAAGTATAAACAAATTTTAAGAAATTTGTCTAGAAAGAAAGTTGTTCATCTCAGAGTTCTGGTTCTTCCCCCTGTACAGGTAAATCACGCATGTAAAAATAGCCTGCCTATCTGCTAACTCTTTGGTGGCTTCTTTGGGAAGTATTTCACTGTATTGGAGTGCTGGCTTTGACATCTTATTATGCTTGGTAGTACTGTAAGTAAGCTGGTGTTATACCATGTATACAATGATTAACCTGTGGTAGCTCCAGAATGCCTACCTGCTGACTTGTTTTTGGCCTCAAGGGCTCAAAACTCTCCCACTACTCATTTGTAAATGCTGTTGAACTTGAAAAGTGTTTGACTTGCTTGCTACCACTGTTATGTGGTTTACTTCAATGAACAAAATAAGATCAGGTAAAAGATATTCTTGATCATTTGAGAGACTTGTTTGTGTGAAGAGCTTTAAGACATCTTAAAAATTAAGACAAAGTAGATGATCTACTATCCTTTATAAACTACTCCAGCACAAATTCTTTCACCTACTCATTCAATTATGTTTGGAGCTTTTCTAAGCCACAATAAGAGGCTTGCAGTCCAAAGCATGTGGACTTTGCACAATTTTTAAAAATAATTTTGGTTTTAGATAATCCATAGCACCTGATAAGGAAAAGTTATATCCCCCTAATTTCTTAGTTCAGAAACTGTAATTTATATAAGTAGAATTGCCAGCTTTGCATAATAGGTGTTCCAAGGAGCTATTAATACTATGCACTATACCTACTGCATGCAGTTAGCTCCCTTCCTCCAGCCTGCAAGGAAGAATGCTGCTGGAGTCCCAAATACTCCAAACCCCATGCAAAAGAAACGCTAGCTGGGTTTGTAACAAGTAGTCAAGAGTGAACACTTTGGTAAGTTTGAGAATGCCCACTGTTCATTTAAAGGAAGATATTTATTGAACTGAAGAGAATAAACTTCTTTTAGGTAAGTTTTTCAATGCTTAGAGAAATTTTTTTCATGAAGGAAAACGTGACATAAGGAATTTACCTGTCTATATGAAATTTAGGTAGAACCGAGGTTCAGAAATCCAGTCCTGTAAAACTTTTCTGCTGATGCTTGGCCCTGGAAGAATACAAGCTGTGCTGTTATTTTGTTTTTCATTTCACTAAGCCCTGGTAATTTGTAGCTTTTTACACCTGGAACTGTTCTAGACTTAACTGACTAGCTAAATAAGGTATCTAGAAAAAAAAAAAAAAAAAATCAAAAACCTTCCCAACAGTGAAGGTGTCTCCACCACGCTTCACTGGCATCTGCAAGGTTTGTTATGTGAACTGTAACTACAGGTACCACCACGTTTTAAAATGCGTAAGAGAGTGCCATGGCAGGGGCCGCAGACCTGGACCTACAAGGCTGGACCAGTACTCTGAATAAAATGGACTGGGTGTCCACAAACACTTTGGAGACTGGCAGCACGGTCTTAAAACCTTGGTTTCCTCGTTGTAAATTATCCTGCTGCTTGTTCATACCGCAATGGCTAAGAACAGTGAGGCTGGCAGCTGCGCTGGAGACAGCCTGGAAACAAGACAAGGAGCAGCGTGACCTGCAAGAAGTGTGACCTCCTGTCATGTGCGTGAGGGGAATTTCTCTTTTCCTGCATCTAAACAGCTTCTCACATTTTTCTGTGAATCCTTCTGTTCCATCAGGCATTGTTAGGGCATGCACTGATCATCTGGGATATTTTTAGAAAGTGTAAATAATGGTGGAGGCACGCTTTGAATTTTCCTTCTTGCAGCAGCAGAAATGCCAGCAGTGCACATCACATGGCTGCTCAGACAAGTATACATCTATTCTAGTAACATTTTCCCACCCAAACATAGCATCCAAGTGCCCTGTAGAGACCATGTGCTTACTGGAGCCTGGCTCACCCCGAGAGCTACGCATTGGAAAGTTAACCATTCAAAGCCTCTGTCCTTACGTTCATTCTCGTGATGTTAGTCCTCGGTCACAAAGTGATAGGACAGAAATTTAAGCCACCTTAACTTCACAGGGAGACATCTGCGATGGCGCATCTGCGTTGTCCATCTGTGGAAGCAGTGGAGTGTCAGAAGGAAAACAGGCAACCCCCCCCCCCCCTTTACAACAAAAGCGGCTGGGGGATTGGTGGGTTTTTCCCCCCGGGGGGTTT